GAATCTTGCATTTGCTATGACAATCAACAAGAGTAAAGGTCAAACTTTGAAATATGTTAGAATTTACTTAGAAAATTCTATATTCATTCATGCAGATTTGTATGTTTTCATATCAAAGTCCGGCCTCAAAATTTTAGTAAGAAATAAAGACGTTAAATTGAAAGGGCATACAAAAAACATTATGCACAAGGAGGTGTTGAATGACATTATCACAAAGAAAATATGAAAAAATAAAGATATTCTTCATTCTTACTCATTCCATAATCAATATTTTTTCACTAAAGTTATTAATTGTACACTCTATTTTGTTGTAGGATGGCGTTTAGACCAACTCCCATATGCTTTCTCCATATACACAAATCTTAATGGGACTTCAGAGGAAGAACTACAAGAAACCTTAGAGAATAGCTTGTCATATGGTATTTGTTGATTGCAATGTATGTAAGTTGGAATTACTATTTATTTGTTATTTTTAATTTTTAATACTATTTCAAATTTAGTAAATTCTTAATTCACTTCTTACATGTTTTAACTCATGCATAACTTTGTTAGGGTGATGATTTGGAGATCAAAATGTATACCGAAGAAGTAGACAAGTTTTCAAACCATATAGTTGAAGGGAATGCTTATTCGATTACTCGTTTCTGAGCCCCCCTGCTCACTCTAACTATATTGTGGTTAGGACAATGGTATGTATGTATACCTACAAAATTCACAATCAAGTCACAAATAATACTCTTCTGATTCTTGTCATGATATTCCAATTTTCTTGCCACATCATTTATTATTTTCTATTAAATTTATCAATTATCTATTACATAATAACAACTATATGTTGTTAAGTCTATTAGATGTAATTAGCCTTGCTATACATGTTAACACACTAACAACAATTTCATCAAGCTCCAACAAAAGGGATATATTACTGCTTGATAGAGACTAAACATGTTTTCCATTAGAATTGAAGTTTTCCTTCTTGAAAGATGTTTCTTAGCATACTTTGATGATAATTCTAGTATGTTTCTGGGACGAATATGCATAACTTGCACCGAATAGATGTTGGAATTGTTGTAATGGCAGCTAGAGCTATACAAGTTACAAGGTTTCATGGTAATCACTTTCATGCTATGACAATATTATCTTTATCTCCAATTAAGTGTATATATTTACAATCATGCCCTTCATTTTCTTTGGATATCATCTTTCACTTTCAACTATAAGCCATACGGGGCTTATGTTCAAACCTAAGCTTCATGAATTTGCGAATCTCTTTAACTCGTAATCCTACTTATAAAATTTCTCCTTCTACATACACATGCATTTTATCACGATAATAATTCTTACACTTTATTGCATTAGGAACGAAAACAATGAAAATTCCCAAAAGATGCTCAAGTATCATCGAAATATTGGCCATCTTCTCATCAGGTTGTATCCACTCAATCTTGCAATATATCCAAAATTCAATTCCCTCTCTACCAACGGTCCCACTACGTATCGAATTTCAACATACATTGTATAGATTGACATTAATCAAAGACTTTGGTATGAGTCGTGTACTATTTGCAAGAGGAAGGTGAACCTCATTAATCAATTGTACAGTTGCTTATATCGCAATAAATCACTAGCAGACAAACTCCCATGCTAATTTCAGCTACCACTAGACCTGTTCATGGGTCGGGTCGAGTTTTTATTTTTCATAAACAGGATTTTCTTAGGCCCAGGCCCAAGCCCGGACCAATCAACGGGCCTACAACTTGGGTCCGAGCCCGGCCCTGATGAAAAGCCCGAATCCCAACCTAACATAAAGTTGGCAGTGAATCCCCCTAGTGTTTCAGGTTGTTTTTATGATTCCCTAACAAATCCCCAATAGAATTCGAACAAACAATAGCATTCGGATTTTAGACAAACAATAGCATTCGGCTAATAGCATATATGTAAACACTAAATAATAATTTCATAATACAACAAAATGGCAAAGAGGACTCACCGCCGGTGGCTGTGTTCGTCGGTGCTGAGTTCGTGGTGAGCTGAGATTTTGACAATGAAAAGTGAAGTTAGTTCACGTCAGAGAGAGAGAGAGAGAAAGATGACTCACCGCCGCCACCGGTGCCTGTGTTCGTCGTCTCACCAATGCCTGAGTTCGCATATGAGATTTAAGAGAGAAGAAGTGAGAAGAGGAACAAGAGAGAGAAATAAAGGACTCACCGCTGATCTACCAGAGTTTACTGGTTGCGCCAGTGAGTGTTCGCCGGTTCTGTGTCTACTTGAGTGTGTGAGGTTGTGAGTCACTGTGAAAACTGAGAAGAAAGGTTCGACTAACTGGCTAAGACAAGAAAGAGATGAATAAGAAGAGAGGTTAGGATATTAGGGTTTTTTTGGTTTAACCTATAGCTCGGGCAAGACTGGGCTCAAGCCGGGCTATTTTGGCAAATCACGAGCTTGGCCCAAAATAAATTCGAACCGGGACTTTTGGCCTGAGGTCAAGCCCACGGGCTCAAATGTGTGTTCAAGCCTGTCCGGGAGCCAAGCCGGCCTGTCAGGCTACCCGGCCCATGAACAAGTCTAGCCACCACACAAAATCCTACTATACATGTATTAACAGTGTTTAAACTTTGTAGGTATAAATTATGTATCCATCTCCAAGACTATAATGCTAAAAAATCATTCATAATCTTTCACAAGCAAGTAGAGTTTATTTTTAGAAAATCAGTCTCTTATGTTGAAGAGTTGCTCTCTCATGTAATATACTTTACACTCTTCCCCTTTTTCATGAGACTACCAATTATCCTAAATTTACATAATATCCTACCATTTTCTTAGGAAAATTCAACTGATGACTTAAATGACCTTTCTCTACCATGCCTTTGGAAATCATTTATTTTATAGTAGAACCACCAAGGTAGAACTCACCTATTGTTAGTTTTGTAAGTAACATCAATTAGGCGGAAAAAAGCTTGACGGTCTTGAATGAACTTAGTAAAATTTAAGTGCAATATGGTAATCAAAAAACAAGATATGATTGTGAAATTTAGATCAATGTCAACTGGACAATACAACTTTTTCTTATTTGATAACTTGTAGGTGTCCTTTCTTCAAATATCGTAATCACCAAAAATACTCCACAAGGTATGTGAAAGATTAATTACAAAATAAATCAATAAACAATTGTATATACATTAGTTAGTACTCATTATTTGTTGACATTTTGATCATTAATTCCTTATTTCTTTCCTTCTTGAATTAATGGTTGGAGAGCCCTAGTGCATTAAAGAGCCAGCTAAAGTTATAAAAAGGGCCCTTGTGTCTCTATTTATTTCGTGTGCTACCATTAACTTACTCCATTTTATAGATACCACCTGTCAGCACCCAATTTTTGATCGGTTCATCGCCTGAACCCCAATTCACCCTAAGTTCCCGATCAGACCCTTCTGATCCTTTTGAAACACCTAAAAAACCCAAGGAACCTAAATTTCATCCCAAAATTCCTCAAATCCACCGTTAAATCTATCTAATACCAATCCAGTGGCCCCAATCAACCTCTGCCTGTGCTTTGACCCCCCTATCAGACAATACCATTAGACCCTAAACATTCTAAAATACCTTTCCATAAAATTTCAGCTCAAGATTCCTCCAGTTACCCTTTCACCAAGCGAAGATTCCATTCTAACACCTCTCGTTAGCCCAAACACTTGGAACCTAGATTCCCTTGATCTTAACACATCCAAACCAATCAAACTGCACCATTAAACTCTAGATACATCAAAACAACTACCCATAATGTTTCAACCCAATATTCCCTTTTGGATCCTCTCGTTGACCCAAATTCCTATGATCTTGATCCCCCTGAATCGATTAGACATTATCGCCAGACCCCAAATACCTTAAAATACCCACATATAAAATTTCAGCCAAAAATACCTCCATTTTACCCTTTTCTCGTGCTAAGATTCCATTTCAAGGCTCTAGATTAATCGGGTTCTAAATCCAAGGTGATCTAGGCTAGTTAAACTAATCAGACCTTGACAATCACCCTAGAATAACAAAAAGCCTCTACATATCAAATTTCAGCCCAAAATACCTCCATTTACCACTTTGTCGTACTAAAATTCCATTTCAAAACTCCAGATTGACTGGATTCCAAATCCATCTGATCTGGGCCCAATTAAACCAATCAGACTTTGCCAATCACCTTAGATTAACTTTTACAAGTTTCTCTTAGAGGGTTTTTTCCTTCTCAACAATACACTCTTGTGAGAAGAAAAACTTAATTACGAATATTTTTTATTCAGATCTCCAAATCCTTGGAACTAAAATATTCTAGTTCAAATGTGATGAAATGGGGCCGGATTCTGGAGACAGGATTCCAGGATTGTACAATCTGTTAAAAAGGCCATTTAATTGGAATGCTTACCTTGTTTAAGGAGGGTCTTACTCTATAACTAATGGGGTGTAGGCCTGTAGCAGTGTTTGCATTGCATTTTATTCTGCGGATAAGATTTATGGAATCTGATGGCTTCTGCAATAGGTGGTCCATTCCATCACTGTCTATAGTTTCATCAGAAAGCCAAAAAAAAGTAGGGGCTACTAATAGACTAGGAAGTGGCTGTGAGCCTGTGATTTAGGGGGAGTACAGTCTACTTATCCCAAGAAAAAAGTATCAATCAGCTGCTAGATGGAACGTAAAATAGAGCATGATTATGTCAAGGGTCTCACATAAGGCTTTCAGAGAACCAAGCACTAGATATTTTGTCTAATAACATGGAAGTGGAGGACAATCACAGTGTCCTGGTTCTTGACTTTGTCTCTAGAGTTGATTTCATCTCTCACCACGTTTGATGACAGAAAACCAGAAATAAAAACCAAGGAATGGTTTTAGTGAACGCCGTTGTATTTGTATGTTGATTAAAGGCTGTTTTCTAAAGACAACTTGTTTGGAAGAATAATTACTGAAATAGAATTAAGGTTATCTCTGTTTCCCTCCTCGTATAAATACCCCACAAAACTGGTTTAGGACACACCAACAATATACTCCCAAATCTTGTAGCATAGTGGAGCATATTTGAGAGTGAAAGCTTTTGAAATAAAACATGTCGACTGCTGGTCAGGTTATACGTTGCAGAGGTACTATCGCAACCCATTAGTTTTTATTTGATCTTGCTTTCTGCAAACCCTTCATTCAGCTATTTATTTGTTGGGTCTCCTGTTCCTGGATTTATTTCTATTATACTTTGTTGATTAGAAATCCGTCTGTTGGGTCACTTGAAATTTGGGTCACCGATCTAATGTTGTTTTGTTGATTCATTTCTCATAAATTTGGAGTTTGTTGAGGTCTTTAGTGAATTGGGTCCTGAAAAATGTACTCGGTTTCCATTAACTCGGAGGTTTAAAATCCATAATCTAGTGGAGTTGTTTATTTCGCAAGCCGAACTATTAGCTTTTCCAATTAGTTTAAGCACTTTTGCTTTGAAAAGAGTAAAATAGAAGGTGGCAGCAAATTTATTCGTCTCATTTGCTGATTGATTGATTGCTTGTATTATCTGCAGCTGCTGTGGCATGGGAAGCTGGCAAACCGCTAGTGATCGAAGAAGTGGAAGTCGCACCACCACAGGCGAATGAAGTTCGTTTGAAGATCCTCTATACTTCCCTCTGCCATTCTGACGTCTACTTCTGGGAAGCTAAGGTAACTTCTTTCAGAGTAGTATATCTGCTTGTAACAGTTCAACTTATCATTAATGATGCTTCATCAGATGATATGATCAAATCAAAATGGGGGTGGTTTTCAATTTTGCAGGGACAAACTCCTCTGTTTCCTCGGATCTATGGCCATGAGGCAGGAGGGTATGTATTATTCTGGTCAAACAAATCCAGTTCTTACAGAATTGTTTATTAATGGGTTGGTAATATTCCTTTCTCCAATTTGATTGTTATCTAATTGGTTTTTCTATTTTTGTTCTCTGTTTAGGATTGTGGAGAGTGTTGGAGAGGGTGTGACAGATCTTGCCCCGGGAGATCATGTCCTTCCAGTGTTCACTGGAGAATGCAAGGAATGTGTCCACTGCAAGTCAGAAGAGAGCAACATGTGCAGCCTCCTCAGGATCAACACCGACAGAGGTGTGATGCTTAATGATGGAAAATCCAGGTTCTCCATTAATGGCAAGCCTATTTACCATTTCTTGGGCACCTCCACCTTCAGCGAGTACACTGTTGTTCATGTTGGCTGTGTGGCCAAGATCAATCCTTTGGCCCCTCTAGAAAAAGTTTGTGTCCTTAGCTGTGGTATCTCCACAGGTGAGGACTGAGGAGATATTAATCCAATTCAAATTTATGTTTTAACTCTGCATTTCTGTGATCTAACTGGGTTTTTTTTTTATCTTAAAGGTCTCGGTGCTACCTTGAATGTTGCAAAACCTCCAAAAGGTTCAACGGTGGCTGTCTTTGGATTGGGCGCTGTAGGACTCGCTGTAAGTCTCTGTTCCTTTCGTAGGGGGAACTGTTTGTGTTTGTCCTTCAAATTGCTTTAATGAAGAACTGACTTCTTTTGATGCTATCGTGAATAGGCTGCAGAAGGGGCTAGGCTCTCTGGGGCATCTAGAATTATCGGTGTTGATGTGAACCCCAAGAGATTTGAGGAAGGTAAATGGTCCAGTCCTATGAAGAATTTTGTATTTGAGCACCATTGCTCCTATGTTCTACAATGGAAGTTGAAAACGGAAATGGGTTTTTCTTTGCTTGTCATTTCAACAGCGAAAAAATTTGGATGCACGGAGTTTGTGAACCCAAAAGACCACAACAGGCCAGTTCAAGAGGTTTGTATATAAAGCTCTAAAGCTTTTCTGTTTATCCAAATTTATGGTGATAAATACCCTGTTTCTGATTTAATTACAATTTAGTGTAATTTTAACTGATGTAAGGTGAACTGTTCTAACTCAGTATTTGTGTTTATCGGATGCTCTATTCAGGTTCTTGCTGAGATGACTGATGGAGGAGTAGATCGGAGCGTTGAGTGTACTGGAAACGTTGATGCCATGATCTCTGCATTTGAAAGTGTTCATGATGTATGTGCAAGTTCCAACCAATCTCTCATTTCCTTCCTTTTTATCTATTTCCCTTGATGAGTGTTACTCGATGCCAATTGCCAAGAGATCTAATATATCTATGGTATGAGTTGTCTTAATTAAAAACATAAAATAATTCTCTCAGGGTTGGGGTGTTGCTGTTCTAGTGGGTGTGCCTCACAAAGATGCTGTCTTTAAGACTCATCCAATGAACTTACTGAATGAAAGGACTCTCAAGGGTACCTTCTTTGGAAACTACAAGCCACGCTCAGATCTTCCTTCTCTTGTAGAAAAATACATGAACAAGGTAAGCTTGTTAATGCTCACTATTAATTAATTATTTCCAATATTCTATTACCTATACATCCATCAATTTGTTCACATCTGTGCAAGTGAGACTCGTCATTTTTGTGACTTCTAGGAACTTGAAGTGGAGAAGTTCATCACCCATCAAGTCTCATTCTCAGAAATCAACAAGGCTTTTGACTACATGCTCAAGGGAGAAGGTCTCCGATGCATCATCCGCATGGATGGTTAAAATGGAGTACAGGCCCCGCATCTGAATAAAGTGATCTCACATAAAATTGAAATAAAGAAAATAAAAAGGTCATTAGCCAATATTGATCTCAGGCTCTCAGCTGTCTTGGGTTGTAGGAATAGGAAGGTAGACTGGGCATGTCCAACCTTTGGCATTTTTGCAGAGTGACTGCATTCAGACATTTTCATCAATTTACCGAGTACTGGACCCTTAATTGAAATAAAGATGTGGGATAAAAAAGAATTTAAGGAAGCAAATCTTTTGGGTTACTGCAGATAACCTACCTATGCTGTATTTTTTTACCTACCTTCTTTTAGCTATCCATAAAAAAAAAAAGAAAAAAGAAAAAAAAAACTACTTTTTGCAGATAGTCGTTATGTGATTATGTCTATCAATCTATTATCTATTAAGAGGAAAAATGTCAAATCACATGGCTGTCTTTTTCTTTTCTAATAAAGCTTGAAACCTTATTCAAAAGAAAACAAGGAGAAACAGACAAAAGATTAATTATCTACTAGCATCATTATGCAGAAGCTCTTCAAAAAAAAAAAAAAAATGAAAGGTAAGAAAGAACTACTAACAAGCTAGCAGGAGAGAACAAAACAACTACTAAGAAGAAAATTTCCTGCAACCCAATGAAATGTGAACACATTAGTGTTTTAAACTAAACACCAGTTGATGTGATTTTGTTGTTCTTTCAAACATCGAGTCTCCGGATTATCCTGCGATCATGGTCACAGCAAATGTGATCTCACAATATCATACAACTTTTGCCAAAATGGTTTTCAATCTCACGGAGCATCTAGAAAAGTTACCACGGCCAATTATCAACTCTGTTAATGCAACTCCAAGGTTCTTCCCCCTTTGAGTGATCACAGACCCAACAAAGCTCTTCCCTCCACTCCAGGGCTTACCTTGGGCCGAAGGAATATTTGAGAAGATTGAGGCGGTGTTTCGCCAATGTGTATGGTATTTTTTGAAAAACCAAATCATACATATCCTCAAACACCCTTTCAGTTGATGGGTTCCAGAATCCATTACATACTCACGGGATCCCACATGTTCTGCCCCGGTTCTGGCTCCAAGCCTTTCTCCACAGTTTAGTTATTTGGGTCACTAAACTATCAAATTGTATTAGTCTACCAGAGAATATGGAAAGGATTTTTTTTTTCTTTGTTCAAGAGAGAATGAAAAAAAAACATTATAACCACTGAAGCCACTCCTTTGCACGTGTGCAATTTTGCCTGATGACAAAAAACATGCCATACACCTCGATACAAGATGAATATGGATAAGATACAGGGTTGAAACTACAAGAATTGTTGATGTATGAGAGAGGGGAGCCTACTATTCTAAATTAAACGATCCAATGGATAAACTCCCAACCTTTTCTCTTTAGTAATCTCATTTATCAAATCTTTGAAGTTTCCCAGTTGATGAAAATGGTTAGATACAAGTTGACTGCATTGCTTATCCACAGACCAGTGATCATCATCAGCCAGATACCATGAATGGACGCAACTTCAGGTGGCTGCATGAAATAAGACTATCCCATTTGAAATATCGAGTCCTAAGCTCTGTCGTTGCTGGTTCCCTTGTGTTCCATACTCGTTTGGGTTTGGTTCTCGATCTGTTGTAAATCCTCTTTAAAAAATGAATTGCTTGGTTCAATTGTCTCTTGTTCTGTAACAGTGTCATGCTTGCTTTCCCTCAGCTTCCCAACTTTGCCAATTGCAAGAATCAGCTTAAGCTGTTTTTGTTGTTGGTCCTATAAAAGCACCAAGGTGAAGAATCAAAACCAAGATCTTTATTTTGAACTTCCAGATTTCATGCTTCAAAGTTCTAGTTAAAACATATTAAAGGAAAGCAGCTACTGCTCAGACTGAGACATACACCTTTTTAGGGATGCTTGTGTCTTTCCGTGTAAAAAAATAGAGGGTTAACTCGGTTAGTTAAGAACTCCTGATATAAATACATCTAAGACAGGAAGCTATTAGATAGGACTGATCATGGTCTGATCCCAGCCCAGACCTATGACTTTATGTCATAATATTTTATATTATATAACACATAATATATGTTATACTTTATATAGTATAAATATAAAATATTATATAATATATAATGTCATAATCATCATTATCTAAGCTTTGTCTCAACTATATAGGGTCCGGCAACATATGTCCTATTTTGCCAATCTGTTATGTTCAATTCCATAATGATTGTTAAATTATGAGAGCTAAGAATCTGGCCTACAAAATTCTAGGCTGGGCTAGAAATGATCACTCCTACTATTAGATGATTTCATGTCACCATGTGCATGGGCATCCCTCAGATAAGAAATTAGACAATAAATTATACCAAGACACATTGGTCACTGGTTATTGATGCTATTAATCAAAGTGGAGGTGACGTTTAACAGAACAAACGGAAAAACGTTTTCCTGACCTTACTGGGTTTGGACTGATACTGGTAATAGAAATAAAATTGAGTTTCAATTTCGACTAGTATGAGTTTCATGGTTCTGAGCCAAAAGCCAAGAATGGTTTCAACAGTATTCAAGTAACATTTTCCTATAAATATTGCATACTAACTGATCGACACTGCAATATTGAATAAAGTCAATAAACTGCCATGAGAGTCAGGTGTAGATGTCTGTATCTCAGCATATACCACACTAAGAAATTTATATGACTATCTAGCAGCACAGCTATGTTGAACTCACTTGAACTAAAGATGGTTAAAGCAAAACAGTGCTCCTAACCTACTTAATACACTGAACAGGAAATAAAATCATAAACCAGGATGGACAATCCATACTAAGAAAGTATAGTAGTGGAATCACCACAGGCCAGGTTCACTTCCAGTAAGAAATGGAGTAAAGGTCAGAATTCGCAACTGTAACTACCAGTCATGGATAAGTTGCATTATTAAAAAAACAAAGGACAAAACAAAGAAAAAAACTTAAATGAAGGAAAATGAGAAGACAGTTCTCATAACCATGTGGTTGCTATTAAAATAAACCTTTACGATAAGAAACATAGGTTGTGTTTGGAACAATGCTGTTTCTAAACAAATTGGCATTCAACCGTTATTTGAGCCTGTTTATAGTTGAAAAAATCATATCTTAAAAATGCACGAGTGAAACCAAGGTTTAAAATTTCACAATGTATAGGGCCATATTGACCAATTTCCAGCCAATACATTACGATTTTTAATATTATAACCCCACACCCTCTCTCTCTCTCTCTAATAACTCCTATATTTAAAACAACTTTTCAAATTCAAATTTGTGTCATTCCTATTTTTACTCATTAATTCCTAAATAACCCTACTCAATAACCCCCTGTATTCAAGGCAACTGTTCAAATTCAAATTTGTCTCGCTTTTAATTAACTCCTACATTTAAAGCAATATTCAAATTCGAAGTTGACATTTGAGTCATTTGTCTCACTTTTCAATATTCAAATTCAAATTTGGCATGCCACTAAACTAGTCTACTCGAATTTGACACAACACTAAACTAGCCTATAATTTTTGGTATAAAAACTAGAAGTAAGAAGTAGAAAGATTTGAACCCTAGTCATTAGTTTGTAATAACTAATAACCATAAGTCAACCACTACAACATACTCTAAGTGCTTGTCATAATAATATGCATTTTGATTCTTAAACTTACTCTTCTTAGTGGATGTTTGTAAATAAATGCTAAAATTGATTATTAAAATTTATATACTAATAATTATTAACAAAGATTGTATTGATTTTCTCAAAATTAAGGTATATACGTACACATTTTAGTTTTTCCATCATTTTTCAATGGTTACCAATTGTGTCCAGATATGTCACATTTATATAAACCATTAAAGTATAGTTTTTTATATTTAAATTACTTAATTATAGTCATGTAACACTTAATTTATTGTTGTTAATATATTTTTTTTAGGATTGATCTAAGTTTCCTAGTGTATCCATGCATATCTTTATTTTTCGTCCATATCCAATGTGTATCCCACACGTCTCTTAACATTGCCTTTCCAATTCTTGCATTTGCAATACCTTGAACCTTGTGTGGGACTTATAATTGATGTTTATAGTTGAAACATCAAATTGACATTTCTTGCTCCAGAGCAGTTAAGTCTAACCATTCTAGATGAAGTGATTCTCATATGTGATGTGACAACACATATCTCTCACCAATATGTATTGATCAACCAAAAACGTTTAAAGGTAGAAACAGCAATGGTACCAAACACAACTATAGTATGTCAATCAAAGAAATGCAGCAAAAGCCTTGAAATTCAGCTTTAGGAGATACTAACACCCAGCACAGTTACTAATATTAATAATATTTAGACCTTTGGTGTTCATTCTGTCTCAATAGAATATTGTCATGGAAGAGACACCGCATGTCCAAAAAAAAAATTCTTATATCTGATTTCTGAATACAAAATCCATCAAACTAACATGGAAAAAAGAACAAATGACAAACCAAGAGGATAATGCAGCTGGGACCTGTTCAGCTAATCTTCTCCAACAGACCCACCCAC